GGTTTGGCCAAACTCGGCAAGACCCAGTGATGGAAAAGAAAACATTTGTGAAGGTCACCGGTGCTTTTAGCCCATTTGACAATCATTTTGCCCAGATGAGAAAACAAAATGCAGACTCCTGAGGTGGAATGCTGTGCCCATGCTGTTTCTAAAGTCAGTCTCCAAAGACAGCAGTGCACACTTTCATACGCATAGACATCTAACACAAGGTTAAATAACAACGCACAGGCACAATGCACACACGTGTGTATCTCTACACACACACATGTGTATGAATGGCAGGTTTTCAGGGTTTGCCCAGTTACTGCTACTCTGGTTTAAAATACTAGAATATTTGCAAAACAACTTTATATTCATCTCCTAAAGACACTAAGAACAGAAGTGCACCCAAGTACAGCTGTACTAAAACTGTTATTTATTCACCTTTGCAAAATAGGGACAATGCTTTTTTTTAAGTCATGGGCACACTCCACTGCATTCCTTCTAAAATGCATTTTATCTACCTGCTGCTACAAAGCAGGCCAAGGACACGCAAAGAAGTGACTGACTGCAGGTGCATTGCATTTCTCTCTCTCTCTCTCTCTCTCTCTCTCTCTCTCTCTCTCTCTCTCTCTCTCCCTTTCTTTCTTTTTTCTTCCTTCCTTTCTTTTTTTCTGTTTTTTTTTTGAGTCAGGGTTTCCCTGTGTAGCCCTGGCTGTCCTGGAACTTGCTCAGTAGACCAGCCTGGCCTCAAACTCAGAGATCCACCTGCCTCTGCCTCCTGAGTGCTGGGATTAAAGGCGTGTGTGACCACCACACATTCTTACTAGCAGAGTTAGTTGTAAATTCAGTCCCATGGAGGATTATGGTGGACACAGCCAAGCATGGCATCTGGGGTAGGAACTAATGTGTTTAGTATTATTCTGACATATTTTGGTGCTTCTCATAATCAAAAATGGGATATTAGCTATGATTTTTTTCTGATAAAGGAAAGAATCAATTATTATCAACTCAAGTGACAGCAAATTTTAGAGTTAAAAGGGGGGAGTGTCTTTAATATAATCCAAGACATAAATTCTTACAGAATTCCACCCCACATCACTCTGAGATAAAAAGCTGTCAAATCCAGAAGCTTCCACCTGCTATCTGTGTCCAATGTGTAAATGCCTTCTGCCCCAGCTGGGCCTCTGTAAAGATCACAGCTATCTGTTAGTAGTTAGGCTGTTTGTCCAGTGCCATGCTGCCACAAGGGGGTGTGGACAATGGCCTCACACAGCACACTGTTTACAGCTGTTATGTCTAATGATCTGGCTGAAAACAGCTCAAGCCACGACATGAGGAGTCAAGGGAAGTCTGAGCGTAACTGTAAAAATACAATCTTCAAACCCCTCAGCCCTGTCTTTATCTTGCCCCCTTCAACTTGGACTGAAATCATCAAGGTTTTCTTCAGCAGCTTTCTGAAGAAATGCATGATGCTCCCACACTTGGATGGGTTCTTACCAAGATTAAAGGCCCTTTCATCTCATTTCTCTGCATATCTGGGGAATCGGATCACGGGGCATGGGTTACAGCAGATTATTCAAGTGGTTCCAGTGTAAACCACGTGTCTTCCAAGAACACAGGAGCCTCATGTAGAAGGAGTGACACTTGAGAGAGGGGGGAGAACAAGAAGGGAGAGCGATTGACTTTTAAGACAGAAGAAAAGCATGCATACAGTGGTCTGAATGGCAAACGTCCTGACAGGTTCACATCTTAATGCTGAGGTTGTACCACTGGGAGGTGTGGTGCACATGTGTCACAGGGGGGCGGGCTTTGGAGTTTCAAGTACTCAAGCCAGGCCCAGTGTCTCTCTCTTCCTGCTTCCTGCAGATCTGCACGTAGAACCCTGCTGCTTCTCCAGCACCAGGTCTGCCTGCCTGCCGCCATGCCTCCCTCTGTGATGATAATGGGCTAAGTCTCTGAACTGCAATTGCAGTCAGCCCCAATTACACACTTCCCTTTGGAAGAGCTGCTGTGGTCATGGTTGTCTCTCCACAGCAGCAGAAGCCCTGACTAAGAGGGGGCCCATGAGCCAAAGCATGCAGAAGAACTCTAGAAGACACACAGAACTAGGAAACGAATATGGGCGACAGTCTCCAGACGGCATGTACCCCTACCTTGACCCGACATCTGTGTGGTGGTGAATTTGGACATTTTAGACACTGAGGTGTGGGTGAGTGGGGAGATAAGACAATTATGAAACACCTGCCTGTTGCCCTACCGCTGGAAACCATTCCTCTCCTGCACACACACACACACACACACACACACACACACACACACACACACACACACGCCCTTCTAATATTCTCTTAGAGGTTTAGCAGACCCTCTATTTGTCCGGTGTGCTGTGTTGGCTAATCCAGGCTGTCAACTTGACCCGCCTGGGAAGAACCCTCAGTTGAAGAATTCCCTCCACCAGGTTGGCCTGTGGGATCTTGTTGGTGGGGCATTTTCTTGATTGCTAATTGATGTGGGAGGGCCCAGCCCACTAGAGCTGACACCACGGATAGGCAAGCCGACCAGGATGTGTAAGGGAGGTAGGTAGCTGCTCAAGCCAGAGAGAGCAACGCAGTAAGCAGACTTCTTCCCTGGGCTCTACCTCAGTTTCTGGATTCTGCCTTGGCATTCCTCGGTGATGGGCTGTAAACCCTTTCTTCACTCAAATTGTTTTTCTGTCAGCACCTCATCACAACACCAAACAGGGAAGGTGGCACTCGTGTGTGTGTGTGTGTGTGTGTGTGTGTGTGTGTGTGTGTGTGTGTGTGTGTCCCTCCCTCCCTCCCTCCCTTCCTCTCTCTCTGTAATGTTTGCATAGTTGTTTTGTCTATAAGCGTGTCTGTGACCATGTGTGTGCCTGGTGCCTTCAGAGGCCAGAAAAGAGCATTGGATCCCCTGGAGTTAGAGTTACGAGCTGTCATGTGCATGCTGGGAATCGAACCTGGGAGAGCAGTCAGTGCTCTTAACCGCAGAGCCATCTCTCCGGCTGCTACCCTGCTTTATTTTTTTTTTATGTGTGCTATAGGTATATGTGTGTGTGTGCACGTGTAGTGCTAAAGGCATGTTTGCCTGTGTGTGGACTACTGGAGTTTTCCAGACAAAAGAAACGGAGGGAGGGAGGGATGAAGGGAGGGAGGCTGAAGTCATACAGTGAGGGGGAGCGGGTAGGGAGAACAGATGATTAATTTCAGAGCCGGCAGCTTGGAAGACGCTGAAACACTCTCACCTGCTGAGAGCAGGGTCCCCATACTCCTCCCTCCTTCTTTTAGAGCACTCGGTATCGATCCGTGGTGTCAACCTGGAAGGTTTGTCAGGGAAACTATGTTGACCTAATTGTCCTGCTTGGGGACCTATAGTGCATCCGTGAGATCGGCCAAGGGACAGCTCTGCACTAAGGGTCGCGGGAGAATGGCTGCAGATCCTAAAAAGGCCATCACTTACACTCAAATGTGTGAGGCTTTCTTCAATCTTATGTCAAGAAGCATTCACTAAAATCACACTGACCACATTCATCTTAGTTATCTGTTGTCCAAATATAGCTTAAGCAGTGCAACTTAAGCAGGCAGCATCTTGGTTAGTAAAGTAAATGCTTGATTCTAACTGGATGTGTGGGTGACAGCATTTTGGTTAGTAAATTACTCGATTCTAACCGGATGTGTGGGTGACAGCATTTTGGTTAGTAAATTACTCGATTCTAACCGGATGTGTGGGCGCTGTACCCCCAGTTCCAGCCATGTATTTTTTGAGCAGGGTCTCTCGCCTGCCTGTCTGGAACTCACCCAGGAGGCCAGGTTGCCTGGCCAGGGATCCCCGAGGGTCCCCATGCTTCCCCAGCTCTGAGATTGCAAATGTTTGCCACCACGCCCAGCTTCTCACATTGGTTCTGGGAGGTAAACTCAGGGGCCGATGATTGGGTAGGAAGAGCTATAGCGACAGAGCCGCGTCACCAGCCATCCTGAACCAGGGTTTTGACAGGGCCCATGCCTCCAGGTGCTTTGACGCAGTGTTCAGCAGCAAAGCCCTCCCTGCTGGCAGCCAATGCTCCACTGCATTTATTTTTTAAAGGCTGTGCTAAGAAAGCAAGATCCAATCACCACGGACTTTCTGGAATTAGAAAGCACATGTATCTACTAACAAAAATTAAACCTTTTCAGTTTTAAAATATCAGACAATTAGCATTTTTTTGGCAATACTCCACAAATACACCAAAGCACTTCCATAGACAATTTGTTTGGTGCTTAACATAAAAGTAGGTAGCTACCCTTCAAAGAGAAGAGAAGAGAAAAACTTTTCAAGATCCATATTTTATATTTAAGCCTCTCACTGTGGGTATTAGAATTTAATGAGCACCTTGAACTGTCAGCTTTAATAACCAACTGACAATCTATAAGTTGGTCTATCTCCGAATATCAACTACGCGCCTGTTAATACAGCTAAGAATAGAGACCAGCTATCCCCCTTATTTAGAACAATAGTGTTATCTTATAATACACAATACTATCAGAAATGACATTAGCATGATTCTGACTTAAAAACACGTGCCAACATGCACAGACACTCTCCACGAGCTGTTGCGCCTTAAGCGAAATCTAAACACTTCATCCCAGCCACTCATCATCTCATGGGGTCATATGGAGATCCGGGCGTGGAGCTTGGTGGTCCAACACGGAGGACCCAGGTTCAATTCCCAGGGCCACAAAGGAAGCCTTTCAGCCAAACAGTCGGCCAGAACACAAAGGCGATGACATGTACATCTGGGGACAGACTGCAGTGCGCTGGCTAAGACGAAGCCCACCGAGATCCGAGTGCCCCTCCGTTCAACACAGGACACGAATAGCGCAGCTAACGTGAATAACACCCAGTTATCACACAGCCAGTAAGAAGCGCTTATTCGACGGCCCATTGCAATCCAGACTTACACCTTCTGCGGTATTTCAAATGCAAAACGGAGAAGAAAGAAAAGAAGCCTATTTCCCGAGTACCTCTTCCACGAGGTTCTCCTCCTTCTCCAGCATCTCCCGTAACGTTTGGAGGATTTTAATGCACAGCTTTTCTTCTTTCTCCATCAGTTTCTTGGTGTGATTGATCAGCCTGAAAGCAAAACATGAACCTTTAAACGGGACACCACTTTCTCGTCGAATTACACACAGTGGGCTACGTGGGAGTGGGGAACAGTACTGCGGAGACAACGTAAATCAAAACTACGCATCGGCTTGTAGACTGCTGTGTTTTCATGGATCTCAGTGCTGCCCAGCTCCAGCGAGCCCTTCAGGGGGCTATGACACTCTGAGAAACGGGGAAACAGCAAGTTCCCCCTTCCCCTCCACTTGGCTAGCATAAAAAGACTGAAAGCACACTTATGCGCCATCATGTCACTTATTATTTCCTGTTCATTGTATCACATCAGTTATAGCATCATGGATGCAGGTGACGCCACAGTTTAGTGGGCTTTCCCCTTCTCTCAGTGTACCATGTAGGATGCGGTATTGCTTGGGAGATGTGAGCAGTTGTTGTGACTAGAAGGGGCAAGTGTAGCGTCAAGACAGCTTGACCGGTTGCCGTGATTCAGACGAGGACATGGCTCTTTTCCCCGGCTGTGTGGAAGCACGCACGCAGCGGGGCTCTTAAAGGCTTCAACTTCCGGGGGGCGGAGCCATCCTGAGAGTGAGCATGAAGTGGAACATTTGTGACGAGGACATGTTCCCATAGACTGGGTTGGTAAAGAAACTGACTCTTCTCTGACCCCGTGGGACACGTCTTCCTAGAGGGACAGCATGATGTAGACTGAAGGAAATTACAGTTTCCCCGTGACACAGCAAGAGCAGTATGGGATATAATTCTCCATTTAGAGTGAGTGCCACGGGATGTTACTGAGAAGCCATTTCCTCTAGCTGGTGCCCAGCTAATGTCCTCAGCCATCAGGGCGGAGGACCTCCTCACTGCTCATCCTCCCCACAAGCCAGAATCAGGCTGCATAACTGTTTGCGGAGGAGAAAGGAGCCTCTGCAGACGACACAACTTGCTTCCAGTTACACAGTCCTAGTGAGGAAACCAGGAAATAGATTTCCAAGCCCAACACCCAGGTAGGTGCTAACATTTTCCAAACGATATCTGGGGCTTCAGGACAGAGTCCCGCACGCAGCAGGCTGAACATGGCCATCTAACATGACAAGAGTTACTAAAACGTAAAGAGAGGTACTGGCAAAAGCCAATAAACTAGACAAAAAAAAAGGTTTATTCTGTTGCAGGAATTTCCTAAAGGCGGTTAGAGAAGGCACCCACAGAGAGAGAGACAGCACTTGAGTGATGGTGGGAACGTCCTTCTGTATATATGTTTCTCTTATTGGTTGATGAATAAAACACTGTTGGCCAATAAGGCAGGAAGATAGGTGTGACTAGGAGATGAGGAGAATTCTGGGAAACGGAGGCAGACTGGGCCGCCACATAGAGCCCGGGAAGATAGGATGCACTAGATGTTCTCGGGCAAGCCAAGACCACGTGGAAACACATAGATTAATAGGTATGGGTTAATAATTGAGACAGAGCTAGCCAATAAGAAGCCCTAGCCACTGGCCAACAGTTTTGTAATTAATGCAGCATCCGTGTATTATTTGGGGGCTGAAGTGGTCGTGGGAACAGCCCAGACAAAAAGCTCTTGTAGCACTTGAGTTAGAAGACGTTGGGTAGGAGGAGGGCAAGAAGTCGAGCCTGACCAGGAGGCGGCGTAGACAGACTGTGGAGGTGGGAGTCTGACGGCCACGTCCGCAAAATGGTAAATAAGCAAGAAGGGGCTGAGCTTGGACTAAAGAGCCTTGGACGTGGGTCTGACATGAGGGGATACTGGTGTGTGTGCACACTGTCCCAAAAATTGTCCTCACTGCCCGAGATGTACTTTCACATTTTTCTATTTTTTCCCTAAGCTGTGTCTTTAGAATAGCCTCTGCTGACACAGACTTGAATTCCATTGGTGGGTCTTCATTCCGACCTCTCAAAACCACAGACTCTCTTTCCTAAGAGTAGATGAGGATTTGAGCAAACCCAAAACCAGCTGCCTGGCAGGTGACCGCCCACACTGACCTATTCTCTCATCCCACAGCATGTGACTCAGCAGAGTCCACGTCCTTCCCCGAGGCTGTCCCCACCCACTCCTGCGAACCCATCAGGTCTCTAGGGGAAGGAGGGAGACGGACTCCGCTTTGCTGTGGCTTCATTAGCACGCCGGGCACAGCAGTGCCAGGGTGTGGGCATGGCTAGTAATAGAACTGAGTTCTAGGTTTCTAGCTACGCCTGCAAATGAGACTCTTGGCTCTTCAGAGAGATGGAGGGGTAGGGTAAGCGGGGACAATAGTCAGGCTGAGACTCTGACCACAAACTAATTATAACGGCATAGGAGCCTTAGCCCCTGAAGTCAGCGGGGCAATCCTCCCCTCTGCCTGGCGGGCCGTCTGCCAAATCACCCCACCCCTCGCCTTTTGGTTTCTCTAGTGAAAGCTGCCCCATCCTCAGGGGCAGAACTGACAGATTCCAGCGTCTTTGGTCAACTCCCTCCCACGCCCTCACTGTCACAGTCTGGACCTCTGCTGTCCAGCGGGACTCTGGTGTAGAATCGGTAGATATTAAGCCACACAGAGCCGAGAGTGTTAGAGCTGTAACTGAGGGGGTGGGTTGGCATCTCATCTTAACCCATCTAAATTTTAATTAATGTGGCTATGGGTGGCTCATCTCTCCATGGAGTTTTCTGGCAAGGATCGGAAGGTGGGTGTTCTGAACTGCTGGAGCCCTGTCTCTTCTACCAGCATGGTCCCTGCTCTCTCTCTCTCTCTCTCTCTCTCTCTCTCTCTCTCTCTCTCTCTCTCTCTCTCTCTCTCTCTCTCTCTCTCTCTCTCTCTCGTCCACACCACCACGTCCCCGGCCTCTCTTACTTTGACATGAAGGCGCCACATCTTATCCTGGCGTCGCTTCCCTCTGGGAACAGCAGCTCTGGACTGTAGAGCACGTCAACGAGCACGGAGAACTCAGCCTGCACCATGGGCCTGAACTGCTGCTCCAGGGAGGCCACGACATCCTGGGGACAAGGTGACACATGTAAGGATGTTAACCGGGAAGGAGATGTGGCCGTTACAGGCCAGATGAACCCTGGCTTCCCAGAGCACCAAATGTTTGCTGTTTACACTTCAACACTGTGTGGTTTCATTCATTCACATCCTCTGTGTCTCTCTGTGTCTCTCTCTGTGTCTCTGTCTCTCTGCATATGCATGTCTCTGTCTCTGTCATCCTCTGTGTCTCTCTCTGTCTCTCTCTGTGTGTCTGTCTCTCTGCATATGTATGTATGCATGTCTCTGTCTCTGTCATCCTCTGTGTCTCTCTGTCTCTCTCTGTGTGTCTGTCTCTCTGCATATGTATGTATGTCTCTGTCTCTGTCATCCTCTGTGTCTCTCTGTCTCTCTCTGTGTGTCTGTCTCTCTGCATATGTATGTCTCTCTCTGTCTCTCTATCTCTGTCATCCTCTGTGTCTCTCTCTGTCTCTCTCTGTGTGTCTGTCTCTCTGCATATGTATGTATGTCTCTGTCTCTGTCATTCTCTGTGTCTCTCTGTCTCTCTCTCTATCTCTGTCATTCTCTGTCTCTATGTCTCTCTGCGTATGTGTGTGTGTGTGTGTGTGTTAAAGATTTTTTAAATCATGTACCTATGAGGGGAGAGGTATACATACATGAGTGTAGGTACCCAGAAGAGGGTGTCAGACACCCTGAAGCTGGAAGTCTCAGGCAGTTGGGAGTGGCCTGACATAGGCTCTGGGATCCAAACTCACACTCTCCGGGGGAACAGTATAAGCTCTCACCCCCTGAGCCGTGTCTCCAGCCTTATACGTACTTTTAAATCAATTCACAAGATGATGGATTGGTAGGTAACTGTCAGGCTTCTGAGGGCACATGTGTTGAGAGAGAGAGGACAGTGAAGCCACTTCACACGCTGTGGAAAGCAGAGACTTGGAGTGGATCGGGGTAACACACGGGCAACTGCCACGCAGCATTTCCTATGCACTCCTGGTCTCCCAGAGCTAAGCATTTAGTCCAGTGGAAACACTCACTGATACGTTATTCAAAGATATTAGAATACCATGCAGGGTTTAAGGACCTGCAATTATATTTATTGATAGGTCTGATTGGTCACATCTCTGACAGGTTCTTTTCACCCCATCCCTTGCTAAAAAGAGAGAGAGAGAGAGAGAGAGAGAGAGAGAGAGAGAGAGAGAGAGAGAGAGAGAGAGAGAATCCAGATGCTATTTCTGAATCAAGTCAAAATATTCTCAGGGAGATGAGACCTCCTCACTCAGCATCAAGGCTGAAGGCTTATGATGGCCACGATCACTCCACAGCCCTGACCAGGGAGACGTGCAAGTCCTAAGTATAAAGCCAAGATCCATTCAGCTCTAGAGACCTTGCCTAGAGAGTTAGCAAATGGGTAGACACAGTGCCAGGTTCTTAAAAGACCTGACATGCTTCATTCTCCAGACCTCCAATCAGCCTCCTGGGAAAATGTGATAACGGTTTAAGGAGGAAGATGCTGTAAAGGGGGCAACGCTTATCAGAAATGGCCACATCTGGTGAAACCGGCCTGATATATTATCTATTAACTCCTGCCGCTGGACAAGCGACACTCAGACCGACTTGAGGTGAAGTCCTCCCTTCCCCTGTGAATCAGAATTGCCCCACATGACATCATGACACCGGCACCATCTAGGTTTGCTGCGGAGATTTAAAGCAAGTTCCCAGAACAACCCTTGATGCGCACTGCCCCCTTCATCTCGGATGGCAGCCCCCATTATTACAGGGCGTGCATGAGTCACGAGTATCACCTTCCTCTTATGCGGGCGGCCTCTTCTCCACCCCAGTCTAACTGCTCTACGTGGTGACCCAACCTTTCCATGGCCGCCTTCCCTTGGCGTCTGTCTGTGACACCGCACTTAACTTTCCACTGGAGTCCTGGCCCCTTCACTAAGCCCCGTTGGTTCATGGTCCTTCTGCAGACATAGCTCGTCCAATTTTGTTGGCTCTACCTCTTTATAGAACATTCAAGACTGATATTTCCAGCGCAGACATCTTTCCACACCACTCCAGACTCACACGCCCAGCTATCTGGCTGGCAGACCCACTTCGGTATTAGAAGAGGCATCTCAAACTCAGAATTCCCCAACAGACCTCCAATTCTAAGCCCCCACACAACCCTCCTCTCTCCCGATGTCTCCTGTCCTAGAAAACATCTAACTAGGAGTGACCCTTGTCTCCTCTCCCATCCCCCACAATGCATCCATCCATCTGCCAGAAAACACACCCCGAAATCTAGTCACTTCTCTCCATCGCAGTTGCTGCCTTATTCGTTTAAGATTTTGTTTTTAATTGTGTGTGTGTGTGTCTGTCTGTCTGTCTGTCTGTCTGTCTGTCTGTGTCTGCATGTGGGCACATCCATGGAGGTCAGAGGTGCTGGCTCCCCTGGAACTGAAGTCACAGGTGGTGTGAGCCACCCAAGGTTGAGTGCTGAGTCGGACTCTGGTCCTCAGCCCGAGCGGAGCGTGGCCCCACTCTGCGGGAATCCCCATCCCTATCACACTTACAGTGGAATCCAACTATCTCTCCAGGGTAAACAACGGATGCCATGAGCTGAATGGCTCACAGATGGCAGTTTAGATCCCACAAACTTGGGAATCCAAGAATAAGAAATTAGTAGGTTTTATGCCTATTTCTTGGAGCACATAGGGTCCATGTCACGGTGTCCCCATGTGATAGAAAGGACAAACACACTGCTTTAGGGCTACAGTATCAGGGGACTAACCACATTCACGGGGCCCACCTACAAGACCTAACCATCTCCCCAGATCCTATCTCAGAATACAGTCAGAGTATGACTTACCTGGAGACAAGATCTGCCAACATAGCATGAGGGTGAAACCAGTTCTTATGAGCCACCAGAGTGGTGGTCCCACAAGGGACAGAGATGGGGACGGCAGTCTCAGAGGAAACCTAACCCTGCTGACACCTAGATCCGAGACTCCCACCTTCAGAATCGCAAGAGAATACGTTTCTTGAATCCTGCCTGTTGTGGCAGCCCCAGAAAATCAAAGCCACATGTCACTGGCTCCCTGGGCCTAAATGTACAGACCAGACCACGGATGAAGACTTGCAAAAGGGCCACACAAGGACCTGGTGAAGAGGGACAGACTGATTTTGACCCAAGAGATGTAAGTGAGCACCGGAAGATAAACCGGGTCAGCATTGTTAAAAATTAATTTGTCACGTGGATCATTTACAGTAAGTTATTTTCACTAACTGTATGAACGACTTTATAATTACCTTGCAATCAAGGGCCACTATGCACTCAGAAACTATCAGAACACATCATTATATAACTCATTAAGAGGTAAGTCAGGACAACCTGTCCATAAATTACTAAAGAGTAGGTGGTAACAGAGAGATAGAGAAAAAAGCTTTGCCCCAGGAAAAACTGGATATTTTCAGCTACATTGTATCGTATGGCACATTTTGATAACACAGACACATTGTATCATATGGCACATTTTGATAACACAGACACTAGAAAAGAGCAATGTCACTTCATGTCCTGGCCGTACCTGTAACTTCTCGATAATGTTTCTGTAATCCCAGGCTGGCCCTCCGAGAGCTTCCTTGAAGCGGGGCCCAGAGCGAGCTGAGAGCCTCCAGCCCATGGCCGCCCTCTGCACTGTACTTGAATGGTTCTTCATGAAGAGTGTGTTAACCTGGCCATCCAGATCCACTGGGATTGCAATCCCACGATTTTTGGCTGAAATAAAAAGGAAAAGAAAAAAAGAAAAGATGGGAAGCATTTTTCTCTCAACTTGGTTAAAGCTTTTAAACATTAGCCAAACACACTACCATGGAAGAAAAAATATTTTAAAGAAAGAACACATGAAGGAGAGGCCTCAGTCTTTAAACTCTGCCTTGCAACCGCCTCACATACTTTCAGGCTAAAAGCTGCTGAAGCTGTTTCAGACCAATTAGTGCTGTGTGATAACTGAACCCTAAAGATCCTATTTGATTTCTTGGGGATTAATGTGCGAGATGGGCTCCATATCAACATCGATACAGAAAGGTGCCTTAACAAGCACATAGATCTTTACCTCCCTGGATGCCAAAGAAAATAAAAACTCAGACAGAAGACACACAACAAATCCTGCCAAGCTGTTAACTTAATTAGAGGGTGTATGTGGTGTTTACACGTGTAGGTGTGTGCCCACAAAACTGCATACGATCAAACATCTGACAGCAGAAATAGTGAAAAAGTTAATAGGTATAAACTAAAAAAGGCCTTCCTTGGAAGGTGGTTTATTCTTCCTGCCCGCTACCCAGGTCCTGTTGCTGCTTTTAGCCCCCAAATACCACACAAGACGCTATATTAATTATGAAGCTGTTGGCCGTTTGCTTATTATTTCTTATCGGCTAGCTCTGACCCATAACCACCAGTATATATTTTTATAAGGACTTATCTTTCTGAGAACGCTAGACTTGCGTTCTCTCCTCCAGGTATCACATCTCAGTGACTCTCTTCACTACATTTCCCAGAATCCTCCTAGACTCCTAGTCCCACCTATCTTGCTTCCCTATTGGCCAACAGTGCTTTATTTATCAACCAATCAAACATAGACACAGAAGGACTTCCCCCATCAGTGGTATACGGTGCCTGTCTTTTTTCCTAAGACCCAGTGACACATAGCATTGTAACAGACTTCTGTAGCCTTAGTACTGAGCAATCACAACGCTCATCATCATGAGGAAAATGGAAGTGTTGCAGCATAAAGTGGTAACTAGACCACTGGAGAAAAACTGATCCATGAAAGACTGGACTTGGCTCAGGTCTACCCAGTGGCCTTGGCTACACTGGGAACTACACTAGTGTCATCTGAGCTACTCAAGAAGACACCTGGATCATGGAAGAGGAAGGTCCTCCTCCCTCTGACTAGCAAACTCAGAAGTCTGATGCAGCTGTTTACACCCAGAGCAAAAAGTTGGAGAAACATAACAACTCCTCTCAAGAAAGAAGGGTCTCTAAATGTACAGTGCCAATGGTGAAGACTTGCAGGGAAGGGTTCTAACTGTGGAGTGCCACCAACACCTGAGTGTGTGGAGAGCCCAGTGCCACCAACACCTGACTGCGAGACCATGACTCTCCAGAAGTGTAACCCACATGTCTCTACTCTATGAAGCAACTGAGAACAGCAACTTGTGATGGAACAAATGAATACAATACTAGGTAAGCATAAAAAGCCTAAGAGTGTTGAGAGAGAAATGAGATACCTACAAAGATCAGGCTGGCAGCTGAATTCCTATCTGGAGGATTGGATGCTGGAAAGATGGAGCAGACCACACACCGGTGGACAAAAGGTTTCGAGAGGAGTAACCTGTACAAAACTTAACTGAAACTCAAATGTGATCCCCCAATAAGAACATTCCAGAACAGGTGCCTGGGAAACTTTTCTCTGAAACTCCTGTGTAGAGATTGCATCGAGAGAGAGGGAGAGAGAGAGAGAGAGAGAGAGAGAGAGAGAGAGAGAGAGAGAGAGAGAGAGAGAGAGAGAGAGAAGAATCCAGGAAAATGTCAAATGAATAGAAGAAACTATGGCAACTCAGCCTGGGCTTGACTAAGAGAACAGGACTAGGAACAACAACAAAAAAAAAGATGGCTTCTCATGAATGTACAAGCTAGAGCCTCCTCCATCGAAAAAAGTTTAGTCCCACAGACTTCGTTTTTGTGGCCAATAGTTACACATTTACACATCACAATTTATAAGTTCCAATGGAGAAGAATTAATTCTATTCCAAAATGGAACACAAATAACACAAATCACAGGCATGGAAGCCAGCAATACATCCAACAAGAACTGGGGGGAGTCTGGAGAGAGGGGCAGCATTTCCTCATGATATCATGTGACAGGAGGTTCTTGGAGCTGTTCAGTCAAGAAACACTCAGGCATGGACCCCTGTCAGAGTTAGTGACAGGCACCAGAAGTAAAGAACTTCTGTTCTTTACTGGCCGTTTCCCACATGAGCAGCGTTTGCTTTGAACGTTCCAGCAACTGCGGTGATGCCTCAGGGTTACTGGCCAGCCAACCTTATGCCTCTTCACTTTCTTCACAACATAATGCAACCAGTCGTCACCTCTGCTTAAGGCACGCACTTACGGCCCCTGCATGAGTTGGATGCATAGGGTGGCTGCTGGGAATACAGCAGACAGCTGGAGAAGTGGCTGAGTAGTCACGTGTACCTATTTCCAGAGGATCTGAGTTTAGTTCTCAGAGCCACGTTGCCCTCTTCTGGCCTCCATGGTCTGCACTCATGTGCACAGACCCAAGATATACTTAGACATACATGACTTAAAACAGCCACAGTAAAATGGTTTTTAAATGGCGTGACATGCAATGAAACACTAGGGGAGTAATTTTCTGGTGATGTGCATGGGAATATATCCAGTGATGAGTCTGTGTCTCCTGTGCGAGGGAGTGCACACGGCAATGCGCACAGGCGACAATACTCGGCAATGAGCGCCTGCAGCAATGCGCGCCTGTGGCAATGCACAGCAATGTGCGCCCACGGCAATGTGCGCCCGCGGCAATGCGCACCCACGGCAATGCGCGCCCACGGCAAGGCACGCACACGGCAATATGCGCCCCGATAATGCGCGGGGCAATGCGCGCCCACGGCAATTCACGGCAATGAGCGCCCACTGCAATGTGCGCCCGCAGCAATGTGCGCCTGCGGCAATGTGCGCCCGCGGCAATGCGATCCCCGACAATGCGCGCCCTCGGCAATGCGCGCCCTCGGCAATGCGCGCCCTCGGCAATGCGCGCCAGCGGCAATGCACGCCCAAGGCAATGAGCGCACACACAGGGATGCGCGCCCACAGCAATGGGCGCCCGCGGCAATGAGTGCACAGTATGAATTCCAGGTAAAAGTATGCAAATTTCCCAGGCTGAGATGTAAACTGTAGCCTATGGTTACGTCATGACGTCATGACTTTGAAGCTATAAAAGATTAACCCTGCCACTGAGCAAAATGCATTTGAGTTAAAATAAGCTAAGTGTTCACACAACGATGAACAAACATTTTAAGGGAATACATCCCTGTGGTAAGGACACCAGCCCAGCATGGCTCATTTCCCAGTACCTCGTGACAACAAAAAATTAAACTGAAAATAAACAAACTCTGCAAACATGGCCTGAAATAGGTTCTCTGCTCTGTCAAAGTAATGGAGATATTAATTTGAAATCAAACAGACAATGCTGAGTTAGATTTCCATGGTTTGTTTAAAAGGCACCTGGGGTGGGGGCCAGGAAAGGAGGGGTGAGCTTAGGAAAAGCATTTGTTTTATCTTGCTTACATGAGCATTAACTATGAAAACATTTTCAGGTCAAAACCATGATCGAAACTGAGTTAACTGCCATCAAGATAGAAACATTCTGGGACCTGTGGTGTATACACAGCAGGGTAAATCCCACAGTTTCCAGCAACCATCATAATGAACCTGCTATGCCCAGTCATCCTTCATGCCTGCAGCGTGTAATAAGGGTCATATTAAAGTTCTTATAAAGAAGTGTTCCTCTTTTGCCTCCGAGTAGAACTACTGCCTTGTTAAGGACATGTCATCGGAGGACAGGCATCTGAGTCCCTAACGAACGAGTGGGAGAGGAGAGGACACTGCCCAGGCACTTTGCTTTGGGGGACCTCTGTCTAGAGGAAAACGAGACACCTTTACTCACAGGTATTTTTATTACATGGCTAACCTCCTAATTAGGCTTATAAATCCTAAAACTTTCCTGGGCATGACAAGTCTTTCCAGGGGCTGTAAGATGTAATCAAAATCTATTTCTAGTCATACTTCATTAAATACTGTGTGTTGTGTGAACATTTTTAATTAGCCGGAGTCACTGATGGTGTCTGCCAGACCAAACCCTCTGAAAACACACACAACTCTGTGATAGGTGCCATGGAAGAAAATGCTTAGATGTACACACTGACAGGTATGGGGAGAGGCGAGCAGAGAGAGCAAGCATTAATTAGGAAAATCCGGCTGGCTGTCAGCCCATCAGAGCCAGGACAGCTGGAGCTGCAGGGTGAGGTTGTGGGCAGAAGCCGCACCTGTTCTTCAGCAAGCCCAAGTCCCACTGGCAAATCTGCACACAAATGTGTGTTTGTGTGTGTGTGAGTGAGTGTCTGTGAGTGTGAGTATGTGTGTGAGTATGTGTGTGTGTCTGTGAGTGTCTGTGAGTGTGTATGTCTGTGAGTATGTGTGAGTCTGAGTGTGTGAGTATGAGTGAGTGTGTCTTGAGTGAGTGTGCGAGTGTGTGTGAGTATGTGTGTGTGTCTGTGAGTGTGAGTATGTGTGCATGAGTGTGTGTCTGTGAGTGTGAATGTGTATGAGTCTGTAGGTCTGTGAGTCTGAATGTGTGAGTGTGTCTGTGAGTGAGTGTGCAAGTGTGTGTCTGTGAGTATGAGTTTGTGTGTGAGTGTGTGTGCCTGTGAGTGTGTGTATGAGTGTGTGAGTGTGTAAGTATGAGTGAGTGTGTGAGTGTGTGTGCAAGTGTGAGAGTGTGTGTGAGTGAGTGTGTGCCTCTGTGCAAGGATACATGTGTGCGCACACCCATGCGCAGAGGCCAGAAGACAACTTTGCCTGTGTTTCCTCAGACTCCAGCTCATTTTTGTAGGCAGGGTCTCTCACTAGCCTGGGATTTGGCAAGTAGGCCAGGCTGGCTGGCCAGTCAGCCCCAGGGACACACCGATCTCTGCCTC